GTCAGGGTCTGCAGGGATGCGACAAGGAAGGCTAAAGCCCGCCTGGAATTAAATCTGGCAAAGGGGATTAAGGATAATAAAAAAGGTTTTTTCAAGTACATTAACACTAAAAGGAAGACTAGGGAGAATGTGGCTCCCCTGCTAAGTGATGGGGGTGTTCTGGTAACGGGGGATGCTGAGAAGGCGGAGATACTGAATGCCTTCTTTGCTTCTGTCTTCAGTGGAAAAGCTCCCCCTCGGGAATCTGAGACCCTGGAGATTAGTGAGAGGATCTGGGGAATGGAAGACCCCCCTTCTGTCAGGGAAGAGGTGGTCCGGGAGCGCCTAGGCAACATCAATGTTCAGAAATCCATGGGACCCGATGGGATTCATCCACGGGTGCTGAAGGAGCTGGCAGAGGTGATTGCTGAACCGCTTTCGGTCATCTTTGAGAAGTCTTGGAAGACGGGGAAGGTGCCTGAAGACTGGAAGATAGCCAACGTCACCCCGGTCTTCAAAAAAGGCAAGAAGGAAGACCCAGGCAATTATAGGCCAGTCAGCCTCACCTCTGTCCCTGGAAAGGTGATGGAACAGCTTGTACTGGATGTCATCTCCAGACAACTGGAAGAAGAGGAGGTTATCAGGAGTAGTCAGCATGGGTTCACAAGGGGGAGGTCGTGCTTGACCAACCTGGTAGCCTTCTATGATGTTGTCTCTGGCTGGGTGGATAGGGGGAAAGCAGTGAATGTACTCCACCTTGATTTCAGCAAGGCATTTGATACTGTCCCCCATGACGTCCTTATAACAAAGCTGAGGAAGTGTGGGATAGATGAGTGGACAGTGAGGTGGGTTGAGAACTGGCTGACTGGCAGAGCACAGAGGGTCGTTGCTGGTGGTGCAGAGTCCGGTTGGAGGCCTGTAACTAGCGGTGTTCCTCAGGGGTCTGTGCTGGGTCCGGTCTTGTTCAACATCTTCATCAATGACCTTGATGAGGGGATAATGGCCACCCTCAGCAAGTTTGCCGATGATACGAAGTTGGGAGGATTGGCTGACACGCCTGAAGGCTGTGTTGCCATTCAGCGAGACCTGGATAGGCTGGAGAGCTGGGCAGAAAAAAACCGGATGAGGTTTAACAAAAGCAAGTGTAGAGTCTTGCATCTGGGGAGGAATAATTCCATGCACCAGTACAGGTTGGGGGATGACCTGCTGGAGGGGAGCTCTGCGGAAAGGGACCTGGGTGTCCTGGTGGACGACAGGTTGGCCATGAGCCAGCAGTGTGCCCTTGTGGCCAAAAAGGCCAATGGCTTACTGGGGTGCATTAAAAAGAGCGTGGCCAGCAGGTCAAAGGAGGTGATCCTCCCCCTCTACTCTGCCCTGGTAAGACCTCATCTGGAGTACTGCGTCCAGTTCTGGGCTCCCCAGTACAAAAAAGACAGGGATCTCTTGGAAAGAGTCCAGCGGAGGGCCACGAAGATGGTGAAGGGCCTGGAGCATCTCCCCTATGAAGAAAGGCTGAGTGAACTGGGTCTGTTCAGCCTTGAGAAAAGGAGACTGAGAGGGGACCTGATCCAGGTCTATAAATATCTAAGGTGTGGGGGGCAGAATGGCGAGGCCGGACTCTTTTCAGTGGTGAGTGGAGACAGGACAAGGGGAAACGGCCAGAAACTGCAGCATAGGAAGTTCCGCACAAACATGCGCAAGAACTTCTTTACAGTGAGGGTGACGGAGCACTGGAACAGGCTGCCCAGGGAGGTGGTGGAGTCTCCTTCTCTGGAGATGTTCAAGACCTGCCTGGATGCCTACCTGTGCGACCTGGTGTAGGGAACCTGCTTTGGCAGGGGGGTTGGACTCGATGATCTCTGGAGGTCCCTTCCAACCCCTACAATTCTGTGATTCTGTGATTCTGTGATTGTAGGTTCGTAATGATCATATCTTCATTCAAACTATGAGGGCCATTGGCAAAGATGTGAAACACATTGGGTCTGGATTTGAAATTAGTCAAGAGTTCCTGTGCTGCTGTCTCTTTGCCTGAAGCCTCAGTGTTATGCTGAGATGTTTCACTAGGTGGTGCATTCAACAAATTATTTGATCTCCCTGTGAAGAAAGTTGCTACAGGACTCACAGGAATGAGTTCCTTTGCTCTGTACCCATGTTATGTCCTCTTTGCAGCTTTCCCAGAGCTGACCCTGCTGTGCAGGTGAGGAATGTTACTTGGGGGATTTTTTTGTCCATCAGATCTGTGAGTAATTTACAAGTCATTTAGAAAACAAGCAAAGCACAAAGGCTTGTTGAGTTTGATACATGCTTGACTTTGGATAGAAGAAAGGTATGTTAGTGGTCTGATACACCTTATTGGCTTCCATTTCCTGCATCCCGTCAATTCAGGAGAATTTAATGGAACAGAAGGTGTGTCGATTTATTTGCTCCCAGAAGGGAGGATTATCTGCAAGCAGCCCAGTGGGACAGCAAGAGCAGGCAAAGGCTGCTGCACCTGGGAATGATTTCTGCCCTTTTTTTGGGATGTATGGAAGCCCTTCAGCACTCAGGACGGGGGGCAGGACCAGGGGCATCAGGCAGGTGGCACGCACTGCCCTGCCAGTGGCTGCACCGGCACCAAGGAGTGCAGAGCAGCCATGCTGATGTTTCGCTTCCACCCTGTGGGCAGCAAAACACGAGTGGGGAGCAGCGCTGAGGCCTGTCCTGCCTCTCTGTCAGTCACTCTGTGGGATGTCTGTTCTGGAAGAAATCACTAGGTGGTGGTGTTGCATGTAAATCTGAGACTTGGTGTCCACACATTGTCAGTTTTTGGAGAAATGGTTCTTGTCATGCTGGGGTTTGTGGGTTATGCTCTTTGATGCCTGCTGAAACAGGGAAAGATACGAAGCAGCAGGACCTGGCTGGAATCAGGTTTATATTCCTTCAAGCCCAGTATCCATACCTCAGTGGGGATTTCTGGAGGAGGTTGGGACAGCACAGTCAGTGACCCATCCCTTTCTGACATGGGTGTGCTCGCATGCAGCATCCTCAGCAATGTCCTGCAAATTCAGTCTTGAGGGCATCAAAGAAAACAGAAAATTCAGCTTCCTCTGAAGGGACACTGAGATAGCTAATGTACAACACTCTCCTATATACATGGAGACATTTGGATGAATTAGAAAGGAGAGAGGGTTTGCCTTCTAAAGTTGTAAGTGGATAAATAAAATAATGCTAGAAGGGATTAAGAATTCACCAAATGCAGACTCTTACAAAAGAGATTGTTTTAGCTTGTAACTTATTTCTAAATGCTTTCTTGTGCAGAAGCATTTTAGAAAGAAGCAGAAGCAGTGCAGAAGCACTGAAGCATTTTAGATCTCAAATTTATTTTTCTGATGGTACGGAGCTTTTATTTTTTGCATTATTATTATTTTTAAAAGATGGCCTCACTCCATTGATTAAAAATCAGAACTGCTTAAATGGAAACAGACAAACATAGGAATTCATTGTGTTCATTTAGGTAGATCCTGTGTTGTACAAAAGTGCACACAGAAGACATCTGTTGCAGTACGCGCCCTGTTGCTGACAACAGACATCATCTTGTTCTTACACCAGTAGTGACTTTATCAGGTTATTGGGAAACCAGGCAATAAAATTCATCAGTAACTGAAAGCAGAGTCCTGTTCTATCCTCCTCTTAAGGCCTAAGATCTGGCAAGTCAGCTGACATGTTTTTTACCCTTTTACCTCCCACTCTTTGTCTTGCTTGTCTGTTTTAGACCTTCATCCTTCAGAGGTTCACTATTTTCTGCATACATAAACATGCATTTCCTTATTTCCGGGATGGGGGCTCAGACCTTGCCTATGAGGAGGACATTATTCTGAATTAATGATACTGATTTAGAAACTGATTTAGTTAAATCACTGCAACTCTCCTGAGCACATTATATCACTTCAGTTTAAGTCACGAGTCAGTGAGTAACGAATCAATTCTGCTGGCAGAGAATGAGAAAGATTAGACTAGATCTTCAGCCCTTCTATCTCGGTGTTTATTAGGCTAAGGCCTCTTCAGGGCTTGTTGCTGTTCTCTTTAATTTTCTGTGCCTAATGGACCTGATCCAGCTCTTGATGGCATAAATTAGGGTTTTTTCATGTCCTCCATCTGGGAGCAGGAGATGGCAATATCTTCATTAAAAACCTAGGGAAGCTCAGAATGGCAAATAACACAAAACTACATCTTTGCTGCATACACATATCTTGGATTGAGGTGTATAGTGCAGAAATCGCCTCTGCACTGAAAAGATTTAATATTCGACATTCAGGGCAAGAAAATTCAACCCCCTGAGCACACCAATCTCTCCTAATATTATGCTAATGACAAGAGTCATAATCTGATTTGATTTTCCTAACAACAGCTAATAACTATTATCTTATGTACATTCTGGGAAGGGAAGGATATAGTCCTTGTGTCAGTCAACAGAGATTTTGTGCATTCAGTTTGAGCAGACACTCAGTTTACTCCTGGTTGTACACCTGAGTACTTAGACTGATGTCATGCTTCCAAGCTAAAGAACATGACTTTTTCAAAGCCCATCTCAGATTACATCTGCTTTTTTTTTTTTATTGTTGCTGTCCTTCTCATCTTTCTTCACAATTCTGCAAGCTACCAGTAATAAGTAAGAAGGTTACCTGAGAATATACTGGAAGAGAAAATACAAAATTCTACTGGTTGAAAATTTAGCTTACTGTTCCCAATGTTTCTTATTCCTGGCCATGGGGAGTAGCAGTGCAGAGCAGCTGGGCTCCTGGACAGTCTGACTGTTCCAGAAAAATATAATCAACTTGTTTACAAATCTCATGTTTTGGTTACTACAAAGTTGCTTTTCCCTTTCTGAACGAGATGTTAACAAAGCTGTAAACTCCAGCCGACAATGTTTTGGCATGCTCTTATAATTCACCTGCAGTTCCTAGAAGCCTTTATATTTTAAGTAGTGATGTCTCCTTCCATTACCATCTGTATTCCAAGTGTGACTTCTTGTTATTTTACAGGTTTATGATGGAACTCACATCTTTGCCTAAATTCCTTTGGACAAGTGACAACAGATTTCTGCATCACCATTTCCCGGATATACTGGCTACTGTTCACACCACACAAGACATTCCTGAAGAAGCTGTTTTTGGCCCGTGCATGCTGCAGAACACCCTGCTGGACACTGTAGCTTTTATTGCCCTCAAGTGTTCTGATAGACGGACCATCCACTATGTGTTTAAGGTGGGGAAAATCAATGCTTGATGCTAGTCCTATCAGACAGACTTACATCATCCTTCAGGTTTACAGCATCCTGACTTTGTAAGGGGTAGATTTTTTCTCTGTTCAGCACAACTAACAGCTCCTCCAAAAGGGAGAAGCAGATGATGCATTGCTGATTTATGGGCCGTAGACTGGGGGGACCTCGATGAAAACTGTCGCCTTTGCAGGAAGAATACAAAGTCCTGTTTCTGTGCTCAAGACTGACGACCTGCTTCAGCATTGACTGCAAGCAGGAGGAAAGAGGGATGAATAGTTTTGCATCTTCACTTATCTCAGATTTTCTCCTTACAAAGAACACAGGAGGTTTACTAGGAGGCACTGTAAATCTGGATTTCTCAGTTACCCATAAAAGTAAAACTACAATTGGCAGTGACTTTAGTATGATGTGTAAAAGATGTCAATCAGGCAGCTGGCCCACACATTATTCAGGTAGCCACATCCTACTACTATTAGTACACGGATCAGCTGAAGTTACCTCAGATAACTCTGCATTGCACCTGCTGTTTGAAATTACTGCAGGAAAGCCACAGAACTGGGGCTGTGAAACAAAAGGAACCATCATACTGGGGAGGTCAGGAGCCCCAGGATGGTGATGGAGTGAATTTTAATCTGTTTAATCTCAATTTCTAATTCCCAAATATTTTGTTCCATAGCCACTGTTCATCATGACATTTTCATTTGGACAATGCTTATTTCTCCTGCTAGCATCTTATCTCAGCCTTCAGGGTCTTGGAGTGCATTTCAGTAATCACTGGTGTAGATGAAGACAGGGACACCATGTAAAAAAATAACTGATTCTTTTAAGTTTTCTGTAGTTTAGAGAAATTCCAGGCAGAATGTGTAGTATGGAAGATGTATCTGTTTGGAGACATCTGCTTGATGTTTTTGCTTGAAAGAAATCAAGAAAAAGACAAAGAGGCTTCAGACTTTTGCTGACTGTTCATTTGAGTCCCTGACACAAGTTAGCCTGCTCAGGCTGGATTATCAGTGCTTCAGGACAACTATCAGCTCTCTGGAGAATTAACCCTCCTGAGATCAGACTCTATCGAATAATTCTGTATTCCTCCTGGGAGTTTTAGAATGAGTAGAGTCAAGGAAAAATCTCAAAGAGTTTCTACACTGGAACAGACCTGCAGTGGGAGGGCTTTAGAGTTTTGCTGCATATGAGTTAGGAGTTGTTATGAAGGCATGGCACTGAACGTCTGAACTGGCTCTGATCTCTGTTTTTGTCAGTCAATGCATCAAATTATGTGCAAGTAGCTATTTCAGGTGCAGCCCTTGGCCCCATATCCTCTTTGCTTCTCAAAATTAAAACTAAACCTTCAAGAAATCAGGAATTATTGTTTAGCTTGCAACTCTGTGTGCAGACAATTAATTAATGATACAATCACAATGACACAATATTGTCATGGCACTGAAGGGAAAACAAGAAATGGGTATTGATATGCTGGCTATAGCAAAAACACAGGGACAAAGGATAGGCTGGATTCTCTGCAGCTGAATTTCGTGCTCACCCTAGTTCAGCAGCAATTCAGCAGGGCTTTGGAGAATATAATTTCCAAAAAGATTTTCATCTTCTTAGGCTTTTATGTTTAGTTCAAAGGGAGCTCTGTTTTTTTCCTCTCATCTACTTGGAGGCCCTAATTTGAGCTCCTTGAGCCAAATTTCTATGCTTGTGCAACCACTGGCACAGGTGGTTCTTTCCAGCCAATGCTTTACTCATGCAAAGTAAATCAGTCCTTTATAAAATCTATCCTTTCCTCTGACTTCCTCTGCCCCTTGCAGCTTCTCATGCTTTTGCCTCCTGGATCCAAGGAGCAGACTTATTCTCACTTTTTTTCTTCAGCTTGTATCAGGGAAGCCAGAATATCTTCACAGCACTCTGGTACAGCCTGTTGGGCAGTAAAGCCCTTCCCTCATGTGTGGATGCAAAGGATTCACCTGAGGGACTGCCAATCCAGGGAGAGAAAAAGCCATAGTGGGCTCATGATTGAAGCTGAGTGCACCCAGGTCTGCTGTTCTGCCCTTGATTCCTCCTGTGAGCTCTTTCAACTCCTGCCCTGGAGGTCTGGTTCCTGGAGGAGCTGTGTTCCCTTTGACTTTGGTTAGAGCTCCGGGTGGGTTCTTGGTATTTCTGAAACACAAAAACTAATAAATGACAGCCTCTGTCATAGCTATTAGTCGCAACCACTGTGTCTGTGGGTGGGTGTGCTTGTGTTGCTGTCAGACTTCAAGATTTCTCAATCACTGTTAATTACCATGCTGTTCTGAGAGAACCAGTTATGGAGCATGCAAATTTATTTTCTCCCTCATACTAATTAACTTTTATACTAATGTTCTCTTAATGTTTCCTTCCATATCCAAGTGACTATTATAGCCATACTTTTCTTGGTAAGTAGCAGTCAGACTGAGTTAAAAACAGAGAAATAAACAACCTAAATACTGTTCCTGATGCAAAACACCAATGAATGGCCATCCTGCAATTAGTGGAAAACAAAGAGCTATACATTGCTTGGGGTGAAACTTGGATCATACTTGTCATTAGACATTTTTCATTTCCAAACTTCTTCCTTTCAAAACAATGACTTAGTGCTTCAAAAATTAGTTGAGGCTTTTTATGTGTGTAAATGTTGCCCTTGATCACCCTCTGTTTCAGCCTCCCAGCTATGAAAATCTTCCCCATTTTTCAAACACTGCAGAGGACATAGTTCTGCTGTGGTAAACACCAAGGAAAAACCTATAAAGAAATAAATCATTCCCTATTCAAAGCAAATGCAATCAATTAAATAAGATGGGAGCCACACACTGAACAAGGAAGACAAAAAGAAATGTTTTACAGTTATATTATTTCCAGAGTGTGGTCAACCTGCAACTAAAGGACTCAGTAGCCCTGTGGAGAAAAGCCTTTTTGCAACTGAGCACTGTGTTGTAACATGTATACAGAAGGAAAATTTAATTTGAGCAATAGACTTAATATTAGGTTGTTAACTCCTGATCTTTCTCCCCACCACAACTTTGGTCACAGATGTATAAGGATTGGGCTCACTGCTTTGGCACAGGCTCTGTGTGATGTAGAAAAAAAGACTTTTTTTTCTTGAACTTGTTGGACATCTATTTTAGCTCCCAGAACTTAAAACTTCCCCTTTTATGTGTTCTGTCCCACAGGTAGATGTCACGTCTGTGCACAGTCCTACAGGACTGCCTTGGATGAGGCTCGTACAAGCAGCTGCCAATAGCAAGGAGCAAAACTTGGAAGCTTACTTAGAAAACAGTCAGTTATATTATCGCTCTACCAGGAAAATCAACAAAAATGAGGAGCTACTTGTCTGGTATGATGAAGAGCTTTCCAGACTCTTGGGTTTCAATGAGATAAAAACTCAGAGTCCCCAGAATGGTAAGTTCCAGACTGCTGGCTGTGCAGAGGTCACCGAGGACTGAAGTGAGCCTGCAACTCATTTAGTATGTGCTGATCCTGTCATACAGGAAATAAAAGCTGTCTAAACCCTCAGCAGTTAACAGGTCAGACCTTCTGCTTTGGGGTTTGAGCTGGAGGCACAGAGCATGAAGAAATTTGCTTCAAAATTTGATCTAATCAAAGTGGAAGAAACCTTTTTCTACATTCCCTTTTCTGGAGTTAAACGTAACTTATAAAGCTTTGTTTGTAATAGATATAGGTTGGTTAGTTTATATGATAACGTATTTTACTATTAAATCAATATAAATACATTTATAGCAGATACCCACTAAATCACTTTAACTGATTTCAGCATATTCTGTTAGCTTCTATGTAGACACACAGTATCAGCCCTGTGAATTTGTCAGGGCAAAGTGCTTTCTGTACAAGAAACACTGTATTTAGATGCAAGACTTGAAACCAACAGTGGTACAGCTGTTACACAATAAGCTCAGTTTCTGTAGTTTGGGAAATGATGATCTATACTGTACTAAGTCTACAGCTTAGGTTTTTCCAATTCTTCCCAGCCAATTTGTGAATTTTTCTATATACCCCAGACTTCAGGAGCTCTCTGCCATCATTTGCATTTATAAATTGCTGCATGTTGTGGAATGCTGGAGCATGGATGCATAACAATGGTTAAGATGTGCACTATGCTTCTTGGTCACTGAGTTATGTCCCATCTGAAGGCAAGAAAGAGATGGTATTATGCTAATGCACATCCCCATTTCTCCAACTCATGACTGACATTGTTTCACATTGAATATTTTCTATGCCACAGGCATCTATGCCTTGAGACATAGAACAGTTTGCCAAATGAGCATGAATAAGAGCTTTAGGAATTAGCATCAAATGATTTGTATAACATATTAAACTTTCAGAGTATCCTCTGCAGAAAGTGGAGGCTTGTGCCAAAATCTTTGAGGCCACCTCTAGTCCATGTCATTACATGGGTGAGAGATACATGGGTGGCAGAGAAATAAACATTTATCCTCTAGTAAAGATGGTGAATGCAGTAGTATAGTCCCAAAGTTTTTATGGTTTTATCTAGACTATTGTGTACTGGCAATATTATCAAATTCAAACATGGCTGAAGGGGCTGAATGGAAGCACTTCTGCAAGTAGCACATGGAGGCAAACAGACACGAACCATTTTCCATAACAGCAAGGGATCTCACTCTGACTTTAGCTTTACCATGTATCACCTTGAATGACATGAGATACTTTTGTGTTTTTGTTTGTGTCAATGACATGGTCAGGATCTGCATGCATCCATGATTCTAACTTGGCAAAACTCATAATCTGTTGTCTCTTTCTGCAGAGATGAGATGCCAAGAATGCAACCGAGTCTTTAGATGTGAGCATTCCTATCTGTCCCACGTCCGCTTCCTGTGCATCCCAGAGAAGAGTGCCCTATGGAGGAACTTCCAGGGTGAAAAAGTCACCTTAGTGGAGCAGAACACGAATTTCCACAGCCTGGCAAAGGATCTAGAGGTCAAAATGACAGCTTGCAAAGATGATGCCTGTGGTCTCACTGGAGAAAAGAGAGCAAAATCAGAAGAGGCTGAGAACAACAGGAGCAGGAAAACAGTGTTGTTGGAGAAAACAAATAATCTGAGTGAGGAACATAACTGTGGGGGCAAGGAAGAGGCTGGAGGAGAGCATGCACCAGCTGGTTCTTTCTGGAAGCTGAGTTCAGGAAGGCAGTCAGCTAGGAAGGAGGCTTTTGAGCAGAAGCAGAGTGCTTTCACTGAGGTCAGGACGACAAAGGAGAAGCTGAGGAATGAGAGACCCAAAGAGTCAGACCAGGAGGATGGCACAGGTCCCACTGGTAAGGAGCAGGTATCAAAGGAGGCATTGCTGAACTCCTCTGGTAGTGCATTCTCTTTTGTGTGGCCCGCCAGAGGCCAAGGAGAGCAGAAAAGTGCTTTCAGCAAGCCCAGTAAATGTCTTGCAGAAAGAGTGGCAATAAATTCTTCTCATCCCATGAGTGAGTCACCAAAGAGCCTGGGGGAGCTGTCTGGCTTCATTGCCACCACAGACATCATGTGCTGCAGCACTCTTCTCAATTCCAAGTTCTTTGTCAGTGATTTGTGTAATGCTCAGATGCTGCAGACTAGCATCATTCGGGGAAATGTTTTCCCTTATAGCTCAGAACCATGGCACAAGCAAGCAGAACAGTTACAGAATACGACCACCACTTCTTCCTCCACCTCCACCTCCTCCTCCTTGACTCTTCTTCCCCCCACCTTCACATCCTTTGGAGTGGCTGCCCAGAACTGGTGTGCCAAATGCAACCTGTCCTTTCGCATGACTTCCGATTTAGTCTTCCACATGCGGTCACATCACAAAAAAGAATACTCTTCAACTGAATCCCAGAGCAAGAGGAGACGGGAGGAGAAGCTCACATGTCCCATTTGTCATGAGTACTTCCGAGAACGCCATCATTTATCCCGGCACATGACCTCTCACAATTAGAGCTGTGCAGATGGGTCTCACCAAGGGACTGGGCAGGTTGGGTAGAGTAGGGGGACGTCGTTCATTTGTATCCATTTCTTTTTTGCGTTTACATTAATTTCTTACAGAAAATCACTGTTTACAGTAATTTATAATCGATGCTTTGCAAAAAAAAATACGATATGTTTACAAAAGTCTGAGTGGGTTGTAAGTTTTGCAAACTCAGCCTGGCCCTTGTCAATCTATTTTTGAGGAAATAAAATTGTGAAATGAATGCACACACGCAGTATTAATTTGCAAACAAAGTTTGGGGACAAAGGTATCATTTTGCAGACAAAATTTGATTTGCTGGTGTCTGTGCTGTACAATGTAAATACAGAAGCAGCAACCTCTTCACTGAATGCAGAATCTTTAAATCTACATGGTTGTACGCAAAAAGAAACAAAGTTGCTGTTTGTATCAGTTGTGTTGGCCTCTTACTCAGTCTGAGCTGAGTTCTAGGCTTTGCTGCTTTTGAAATAATGTATACAAAATCTGATAAGTCTGCATCTGTATCGAAGTTTGAGCTGTAGTCAAACGATCATTTAAGGAAGGGAGCACAGATTTTTCCCAGAGGTCGGCTTGCAAGATCTGTGTGACTTCTGCATGCATGCAGGTCTCATCGGGCAGGGTTTCGCTTGTGGATTTCAATTTATGGATATACTGAAGAAGGCAGCTGGGGTGCCTGAGTTACTGCTAGCAAATGCTAGATAGAACCTGTGTTCTGCATCCTGGCTGGTAGGCTCTGTTCTGCTGACAGCTAGAAGAGGAATGTCCTTCACGAAACGACACAGTTGTTCATGAATTGCACTGGATGAGACCATTTCTATCATCTGGTTTCTACATTGGCTAATTCCAGATGTTTCGAAGAAGATGCCAAAGCCTCTCTGTGGCCAGTCCATATGAGATGATTTTCTGTTGCCTCCTTTGGTTTGTGTTCTGCTTAGTCTCAGATGCAGATGAGTTTATATTACTTGGGGGGGAA